TTTTTTTTTTTTTTTTGGTACGAAAAAGGAGGCTACACACCTAAATGATAATCGATCGGGGTATAGAGACACCCAAGCTATCGTGATTCAACCACACCCGCGCTCCCGGAGGAGGATGATCAAGCTTAAACAGCCCATTCGGACCTTTGGCCGCCAAGGAAGCCAAATAATTCGCCACACTATTAGCCTCTCGAAAGCCATGTTGAAGAGAAACCACCCACTCGCGCCTTAAAAGCTCTTTAACTCCTCGTACAAGCCCACCATGAGGACCACTCGGGGCAACCGTGTGAACCATCTCTATGATGCTTTTATTGTCCACCTCAGCTACCACACGACGAAAACCCAAATCCCAGGCCAATGAGAGACCCTTGAAATAGTCCCCAAAGTTCCGCGCCTATTATCGAGCAAAAGTATCTGGTATATTTAAACCTTTAGCCATTAAAATTTTGAAAAAAATATTAGATTGCAGGACAAACCACTGGATCCCAACGGTTGGATCATCTCAGCCATCCTTTTGATGACTCATAGAAACAAGTGTACTCACTCGTATGCGAACTACAAGCACAAGTTGCTGATAATTATTTTACAACTAGCTTGCATAATCTGCAATATTATCAAGATAATTAAATAATAAAAATTAATCAATCTTACATATTATATTAACTAGTGTTAATACCCGTGCGATGCACGGGGTGCAATACAAATAATATTATTTATTTAAATATTATAAAATTATTTGAGACGATATGAAATTATATTATCCACAATATTCTATTCAGTAACAATATGACATTTATTTATTTACTATTATTGTTCATTTCTATTTTTATGTATTTTTTTTGTAGTTTTTTACTATTTAATATATAAATTTATTATTTATAAGTTTATATAATATTATAAATGTATAAGATCATATGATATTTGCATACAAGTTACATGTATGTACTTATAAAATTGTCTTTTATCATAGTCTTATAATTTTGTTAATAATTCATAATTTGCGCATTGCTTGATAATTGACCAACGTTTAACCCATAAGTTTTCTCCCGCTATAATTATTAAGTGTATTAAATGTTAAAGACTTTGATAAATATATTTTAAATTTTTTAATCCTTATGAAACACACAATTTTTTTATGGTTAAATATTTTAATTTTTTTTATTTTTTATTATATTTATTTCTTTAATTCATTTTCAACCTATATAATTAGTTACATACTATCTATTCAAATATTTAGATATATATATATTCCCATTAATACCAAGTGCTATAATTAAATTATTATACATTGCTTTATTATTAACTTATTTTTTATTTATAAATAGTATATAAGAAAAAAATATATATTTTAAAAAATTGAATAGTTTTTTAATGTACATCTATACATGTAAGGTGAAATTTATAATTCTGAATTGCACCCGACCATCAAATTTTATTTTTAGTAGTATATTATTTAAATTTTCAATATTATTATCACTACATATGATATATTCAATGGAGATGTACCTTTTTATAGTTAAATTGACTACACTTTAAAAACTTTTATTAATATTTTAAATTATCTATTAAGTTATTATGATTTAAACATAATTATTCTATTATTTTATTAAACATTTTAAGTATTTCTGAATAGTGAATGTAATTAAGTAAATTAGTACCTACAACTATAGATGATAATATATTTAATCAGGTCAATTTCTATAATAATTTTTTGAATTGTGTCAATAAATTACTATTAAATTAATACAAGATCTTATTTAAAAGATTTCTAATAAATCGCCCATTTATAGTTAATGAATATCAGTCATTGATGTATAAAAATTAATTATTTTTTTCATGCATATGATTTGCTAATATATAAATGTTAAGTAAAAGCCAAATATAGACGAAAAAATTTCCCGCCCAAAAATTATGCCAATTATGGCAATAAAGATTGGTCCATTATATAGATATAGATTTTAATGCACTAGTCATCCACTCACATAATTTTAACTAATCATTACTTCACATCACATCTCTTCTACTTTTACATAAAATAAATTTTAATTTTTATATGTTATTTTGATATAAACTCAAAATCCAATTGACAACTAACCATATCACATTTTTTAAAATTAACTATGGTCAACAAAAAATATTCAGTTTGAGCGAATATTGTTATCCAAGTTCGCGTTTACTATCTTAGATATTGTTTTTGTTAAAAATAGAACATATATAAATATCGAAATAATATCAAAGTATATTAAATTATATAATGAACATTATCGAACGTGAATGAGCTCGTTTTCATTGTACTATTAAACGAGCCTAGTTTTCCGTTCACATTCAGCTCGATGAAACTGGCTTCCATATTATTTTATTTTAAATAATGGTTTGAAGTCTTTCCAACAATCTACTTTTTTTTTTTTTTT